TCCCCGCCAAGGTATCTGTGTTTTAACAGATGATCCTTGAAGGATCCTCATTTATAGAGAAAAGTATAGTGTGTGCCTAGGGAGGAAGAACCATTGCAGTTTGAGGTGTTTCTTAACATATAACACCTCAGAAGAAGGATTATGGGTGGTTATGTTAAATGTTTTCAAAAAGTCTTATATTTTAATAAATAATGTGAAATATAAAGAAATGCAGATTTAAACACTGAACAGGGGGAAAAGGAAATTAAAAGGATACAAACTTTCACTTATAAGCTGAATAAGGTCTGAGGATCTAATGTATAACATGATGACTGTAGTTGATAACGTATTGTATAATTGGAATTTGCTAAGACAGTAGAACTTAAATGTTCTCACCAAAAAAAAGGTTAAAAAAATTAAAATGGAGCTCATTGTTCTGAAAAAAAGAGGACAAGACTGAAATGTAGAGAGAACTGAGTCCCCACGTTTTCTTGATTGATGCATTATGCTAAAAATAAAAGAAAAATAAATTTGTAATACTATTTTTAATAAATAACCAAAATCTTTAGATTTACTTTGGGGGGAGGGGTGGGTAATAAAAGAGAAAAAAAATGCAGGAAGTGGGTACATTCTCTACAAGTGAATGTTTTGTAAGACATCAGTTTCAGAAATTGAATTGTTGGGCTGGTCGCGTGGCTTAGCAGTTAAGTGCGCGTGCTTCGCTGCTGGCGGCCCGGGTCGGATCCCGGGCGCACACCGATGCACAGCTTCTCTGGCCATGCTGAGGCCGCGTCCCACATACAGCAACTAGAAGGATGTGCAACTATGACATACAACTATCTGCTGGGGCTTTGGGGAAAAAAAAAAAGGAGGAGGATTGGCAATAGATGTTAGCTCAGAGCTGGTCTTCCTCGGCAAAAAGAGGAGGATTAGCACGAATGTTAGCTCAGGGCTGATCTTCCTCACAATAAAAAAGAAAAAGAAATTGAATTGTCAGGGGGCCCGCGCCATGGTGTATCTGTTAAGTGCGCGTGCTCCGCTGCTGGCGGCCCTGGGTTTGGATTCTGGGTGCGCACCAATGCACTGCTTGTCAGGCCATGCTGTGGCGGCGTCCCACATAAAGTGGAGGGAGATCGGCCTGGGTGTTAGCCCAGGGCCAGTGTTCCTCAGCAAAAAGAGGAGGATTGGCATGGATGTTAGCTCAGGACTGATCTTCCTCACACACACACAAAAAGAAAGAAATTGAATTGTCCATCTGCATCCTTGTAGTAGGTGGTAGGATAAGGTTTTTTTTTAGTATGTCTTACAAACCTTAAAACTCAAAGCTTGTTTTCTGTTTAAGGCTTTTTTTTTTAACTAAAGATTTTGCTTACTAAGAATCTAAATATAAAACTGTATATGTTTCATCTTTGATCATTAGATAAGTATAGATAGTATTAAATAAAATCATACATCTCAAATTTTAAGTACTTAATATGTAGAAAATTTCCCTTCTAGGTTAATACTAACTTGATTAAAAATATATTTCTAATAGAAATATAGCCTTCTCCCTGGACTATCTTCCTTTGCTTTCATAGCTAAAAATAGGTAAAGAAGTAGAAAATAGTTATTTTTAAAAGACTTTTATAATTCTGTGAGCCTCTGGTGTTTGCTAAAGTTCACAGTAGATGTGTTACATTTCATGTGTTAGAATACAGATTGTCCACTCAGGGCAACATGGCTTTACTTGGTATTCTTAAGTGCTGAGAGCACTCTGTAAGTGGTTAAATAACTTGTTTGTTATTGGGTTTGTTTGCGTATGGGTGGAATTAACGTAGAAACATCAAACACCATTAAATGCATTTTCCTAAAATCTCTCTCTTTTTTTAAATAGCTAATACACAGTTCCTGCCGAGTGCTTCACTTTTTCACTAGGAGTAAACGATTTTTAGCAGCCAGTTTGTTCACTTTCACAACCCAGCATGTTTCTTTGAGGTTGGCCTGGGTTTTACAAAACCTGATTGAGGTAAGGAAAGAGTGTGTGTGCGTGTCTAGACGACAGGGAAGAAAAAATTCAAGGAATAAAGATAGTAATTTGATTATTTGATGGAAAATTAAGTGTTCACTGCTTATTGGAATGGACAAGGAATCTATACTCAGTTTATTTTTTTAAAACCTTTTTATTGGGAGTCATAGCACATATAGAAAAGTGAACAAAACACAGATGTACCTCTCAGCAATGTATTGTGGAGCAAACGTCTGTGTAACACTCCTTGAACCAAGAACTAGAGCACTGATACTGTGCATCACATTTTCTTTCCACTTTTACAATTTGTATGTTTATTCCTCAACACTATCCTCTAGTTTTGCCTGAATATTTTTGAACTTTGTATAAATGGAGTCATACATGTTTATTCTTTTGTGTCTGACTTTTGCTTATCATTATATTTGTAAAATATACCCACGTTGTGTGTAAATTAATTTCTTCATATTTTCATTGCTATTTAGTGTTCAGTATATGATTTTGTCCTAGGTTATCCATTCTGTTCATGTACATTTGAGTTATTTCCAGTTTGGGGCTATTATGAATAATGCTGTCTCTTGATGTACGTGTAAATGCATTTCTGCTGTATCCATACTTGGGAATGGAATTTCTAGGGTGTGAATGTATATATATATATGTATATATATCTTTAGTGGATAATGTCAAATACTTTTCCACAGTTTTTGACAATTTACACATCCACCATTAGTGAATGAGAGGACTTTTTATTTTATTTACCATCATAATTGTTATTATCACTCTCTTTTATTTTAGCCACTTTGATAGGTAAATAGTGATATCTCATTGTGATTTTAGACTGGATGAAAAAAACAAGATCCAAGCATATGCTTTCTACAGGAGATACCCTTTAGTTTCAAAAATACAAATCAGTTAAAAGTAAATGGATGGACAAGATATACTATACAAACAACAACCATAAGAAGCTAAGTGGATATGCTAATATCAGACAAAATAAAACAAAAAAATTGTTACTAAAGAGGGGCATTTTATAATGATAAGGTGGTCAATCCATCAGAAATGTATAACAGTTTTAAACTTATATACACTTAATAACAGTGCCCCAAAATATATGAAGCAAAACCTGACAGAATTGAAGGGGATAATAGATTATGCAACAGTAATAGTTGCAGACTTCAGTACCCCACTTTCAATAATAGATAGAATAACTAGACTAGAATAAATAGATAGAATAACTAGACAGAATAACTATGACTTCCATCCTGTCTAGTTATTCTAGTTGAATAACTAGATCAACAAGGAAATAGGAAAGTTGAAGAGTGGTATAAACTAACTAGACCTAAAAGACATTTATAGAAAACTCCAACCACAGCAGAATATACATTCTTCTTAAGTGTACATGGAACCTTCTCCAGGATAGACCATATGCTACACCGTAATGCAAGCCTCAATAAATTTAAAAGGACTGAAATCATTCAAAGTCTTCCTAGGACCACAAAGGAATGAAATTAGAGATAAATAGTGGAAAGAAATTGGGGAAGTTCAAAAATACGTGGCCATTAAACAATGCACTTTTAAATAACCAGTGGGTAAAAAAAGAAATCCCAAGAGAAACTAGAAAATACTTTGAGATGAATGAAAATGAAAACACAACATACCAAAACACGTGATGCAGCAAAAGCAAGGTTTAGAGGGAAATTTATAGCAAGACTGTGTTACATATAGAGACTGTATTAAAAAATAATCTGACATCATACCTTAAGACGCTGGAAAAGGATGAGCAAACTAAACCCAAAGCAAGCAGAAGGAAAAAAATACAAAGATTAGAGTGAAAAGTAATGAAATAGAGAATAGAAAAACAGTTGAAAAAAACTGACAAAACCAAAAGTTGGTTTGAAAAGATTAGCTAGACTGACAAAAAAAAAAAAAGAGAAGACCCAAATAACTAAAATTATGAATGAAAGAGGGAACTTTAATTTTGAACTCACAGAAATAAAAAGCATTATTAAGCAATACTATGAACAAGTGTATGCCAACGAATCAGATAACTTAGGTAAAATGGAAAATTTCTTAGAAATACACAAACTACTGAAACTGAGTCAAGAAGATATAGACAATCTTAGTAAATCTTTGTTCATTAAAAAAATTAGTAGATTTTAATTTTTAGAGCAGTTTTACGTTTACAGAAACATTGAGCAGAAAGTACATAGAGTTCCCATAAACCCCCCAACACAGTTTCTCCTATTATCTTGCAGTAATGTGCTACATTTGTTACAATTGATGAATCAGTGTTGACACATTATTATTAACCTGTCTATCATTATGGTATCATACACGGTAGTTTCACTGCCCTAAAACTCCCTGTACTTCACTTATTTATCCCTCTTCCCTCACCCCTGAACTTCTGGCAGCCACTAATGTTTTTACCATCTCTATGGTTTTGTCTTTTCCAGAATGTCATAAATAGTTGGAATCATACAATATGTAGACTTTTCAGACTGGCATCTTTCACTTACCAATATACGTTAAAGTTTTCTCCATGTCTTTTTTTGGCCTGATAGCTCCTTTCTTTTTATCACTGATTAATATTTTATTGTTTGTTTATCCAGTCACCTGTTGAAGGACATCTTGTTGCTTTCACTTTTTGGCGATTAGGAATAAAACTGCTATAAGCATTTGTGTGCAAGTTTTTATATAAACATAAATTTTCAACTCATTTGGGTAAATACCTAAGTGTGCAATTGCTGGATCATATGGTACTATGTTTAGCTTTGTAAGAAACTGCCAAACCATCTTCCAAAGTGGTTGTACCATGTTGCATTCTTACCAACAGTGAACGAGAGTTCCTATTACTCCACGTCCCTGCTAACATTTGATGTCAGTGTTTTGGATTTTAGCCATTCTAATAGGTGTGAAATAGTATCTCATTGGCTTAATTTTCAATTCCCTAATAACATATGATGTAGAAATATGACTTTACTTTTATTTCTTTGTCTTTGCATTGACAAGGACCTCCAGGATATATTGACTAGAAGGGATGACCACAAACATCTTTTTCTCATTCTTGATCTTGGAACAAAAGCTTTCAACATTTACCCATTTAGTAGGAATTTGTAGTAGGTTTTCTTTAGATATCCTTTATCAAATTAAGGAAATTCTCTACTTTTCCTAGTTGGCTAAGATGACTTATTGTGAGTGGATGTTGAATTTATCAAACACATTTTCTTCTTATTATGAGGAGATGTTGAAAAAAAATTTTTTTTTTTTGAGGAAGATGAGTCCTGAGCTAACATCCATGCCAATCCTCCTCTTTTTGCTGAGGAAGACCGGCTCTGAGCTAACATCTATTGCCAATCCTCCTCCTTTTTTTCCCTTTTTCCCCCCAAAGCCCCAGTAGATAGTTGTATGTCATAGCTGCACATCCTTCTTAGTTGCTGTATGTGGGACGCCACCTCAGCATGGCCGGACAAGCGGTGCGTTGGTGTGCTCCCGGGATCCAAACCCAGGCCGCCAGTAGCGGAGCACTTGCACTTAACTGATAAGCCATGGGGCCGGCCCCAGGGGATGTATCAAACACATTTTCTGCACCTGTTGTCTAGGTGTGGCAACCTACTTGTGTTTGTAGAGCATCTTGTATTCGTTGTTTGTTATTTTGTTGTTTGTTATTTTGTTGTCTCAGCCGTTGTTTTCAAATTAATTTCTATTCCATTTTTCTTGTCTTCTTTTCTTCTGAAAATCCAATTACATGTACGTTAACACCTTCTCACTAAATCCCCTTTGTCTCTTACTCTATCTGACATATTTTTTATTCTCTTCTCTCTATGTACTTTCTTCTGGCTATTTTCTTCTAACCTATCTTCCAAATCCATTATTCTCTCTTCAGTTGTTTCTAATGTGCTATTGAAACCCATCTATTAAGTTCTTAATTAGTTCTAGAATTTCTTTTTTTTCCACATGGTATTTTAAAGTCTGTGACTATTAATTCTGCTATCTGTAGTGCAATGGACTGTCTCTTTCTCCTCTTTTTGTTTTTTATGTCCTCTTGTTGCCCCATATGCCTCATTACTTAATTAAAAATAAATTTTTTTAAATCGCTTTATTGAGGTATGATTGACATACAAAAAACTGTACATATTTAATGTATATAACTTGAGTTTGGTGAGCCTCCTTACTTATTCTTATGTGTGTGTATATATATACACACACACGTACACACGCGCGCACACACACACACACTCATAAGCTAGACATTGTATTTGCAAAATTGTGTGTAGAAATCATGAGAGCCTTCACATAATGCTAACTTGCTCTGGATAGGATTAGTGTTTGTTTCTTCCATTCTTCCAGGCACCAGGATTATCTTAATCTAATTTAATAGTTGAGATGATTCAGAGCTGAGTTGCAGTTCCTGTGAGAGCCTGTCCTTCTAGTATACCCTTACTCCTAGGGTAGAGCAATTTGGAATTTTCACCCAATGCAAGGAGGATTGACCTTAGGTCCTCAGCATATCTCCTCTGTGTCCCCTTAGCCTCGCAAGGGCCTACTACCTATCAGAGAGCCTGGCTTTCAAATATTTTTTGAATGAACAAATGAACTTACTGCTTCCCAGGCATTCTTGCTACTCACTGAAGTACTGATTGACCTTTGTCTAATCTGGAATGAATTTTAGAATCACAATTTCTAAGTTTAAGAAGAGTTTACTATTACTTTAAGCATTCCATATTTAAGTGGTATAACACTTTAATAGAATCTTAAATACTTGTTACAGATAATCTACAAATGAGCTCTTTCTTTGAGACTCATGTCTTTTGTTTTCATTTTATTGATCCTTTCTCCTCTCAAAATATAATTCATCTTTAAATGTCTCCATTGCTATTCTTTTTATCTCAGTCATTTATGTAGCAAGCATTTTTTTTTTTTTTTTACCATCTGCTGTATGCCAGGAACCCTCCTAGGTGTTGGGGTTATAAATATGAATGCAATCTAGTCCTTGTTCTTAAGAAGCTTAGGGTCTAGGAGGGAAGTAGTAATGCTGTGAGATCATGGCTGTATGGAAGATATCCTTAGGGTGCTGTGTTGGGCAAAGCCAGGAAATGCTAGTCTTGAAGGACAAATAACAGTTGGAGAGGTGATAAAGTATGATTTAGGGAATTGTTGTCCAGTATGCTAATAGTATCTTAAGTATTTCATTCCCTCTATTTGCTACTTTGAAGAGGTTTTGGTACTTTTATTTGGCATGCTTTATGCTAAGGATTGGCAAGTTTTTTCTGTAACGTGCCAGATAGTAATATTGTAGACTTTGAAGGCCGTAGGGTTTCCGTCACAATTCCTCTGCCGTTGTACTGCAGAAGCAGCCATAGATAATACATACACAAATGAGCATGGCCATATTCCAGTAAAATTTTATTTATGGACATAGAAATTTGAATTTCATATACTTTTCATGTGTCAAAAAAGTATTCTTTTTTTCATTTTAAACCATTAAAATTTTTAAAAAAACATTCTTAACTTGCTGTGCAGAAACAGGCAGTGGGTTGGGTTTGACCTGTGAAATGTAGTGTGCCACCCCTGTTCTAGGCTATTTATGTTGACATGTTTATATGTCTAAACTAAAAAGTATGTATACTTTGTTTTTTTCATCACAAAAGTAATGCATACTTGGTGTAAAATTAAAGACTTGCATACCCTATAGTAATTGCTTAGAACCATTTGGGGTATATTCTAGAAATTGCTTCTCTATGTATATATTAATTTTTAGCAAAAATGGGATTATATTATATTTATTGATTGGCACTTAATCATGCACTTAATAATTTAGCCTTTCTGAATCGATTTTGTTGTTGTATTTTCAAGGTGCAAAAGGCAATTGAAGAAGAAAATTGCTGCTTTGGAACTATTGATACCTGGTTGTTGTATAAGCTCACAAAAGGTAAGGATGATCTGGTAGCTCTGTCTTGAGGAACTGAAATTTGACTGATAGAAATGACTCATCTAAAAAAAGTGGAAGTTACATTTTTTTCCTTCCAAGATTCCAGAAAAAGTGCTCTTTGGTGCTCTAGTAACTACATGTTATATAAGCTAGATTAAGTTCAGATGTGCTGTAAGAGAAGAGTGAGTTTAAAATTGTGATGAAACCTCAAATTTAAGACTGAGGAACAGTCTCAATTTCAAGAGTAGTAAGACTTGAGTTCAATACCAAATCTGCCACTTTGCAATTGGGTAGAACTGTAGGCAACCACACTGCATCTCTGCTCCTCTTCCCTCATCTTTAAGCTGGGGATCGTGACATGACAATGTGTATGAAAGTGCTTTTGTAAACTATAAAAGTTCAAAAAGCCTAAGTGGGGGATTGCTTTGGAGACTTTGCACCAGAAATAATACATTTTGGAATGAATTTGAGGGCTGACAAAGGTCTATATTACAAACTAGGGATAGGTGTTCATTGACACTACCTGATAAGAAGTATATTCTTTTCCAATGTAAATTTAGGTTCTGAATATGCCACGGATTTTTCAAATGCCAGTACAACTGGACTGTTTGACCCATTTGAGGTAAAGTTTTTTTTCCTTCTTTTGAATCACCGTTTTTGTGTAATTTAGCTTGGATTCTGATGACATATTTTTATGCTCAGATGTGTTGGAGCGGGTTCATTACCTCCCTGCTTTCGATACCGCTCTCTCTCCTGCCTCCTGTGAGGGATACAAGGTAATAATGAACCTTAGACATAGGAACCAGCCAAATGGTCCCTGAATTCATTTTGCCTTAGTGGGGAAAAGCATTTTATCACATGTCCGAGGTGGTTGTACGTTCATTTTGTAACATTTTGGCCTATGCTAAAAACAATTTGCTGAATTTTAGAATTGATGTTTCTAGAGCTCTAACTTACTTTTTAATCAATTTTATTTGAAGCCACAATTTTGGATCAGTGGACGAAGAGATATTTGGTGTGCCTATACCAATAGTGGCCTTGGTAAGTAGAAAACTTGAGGGTTTCTCCTTGTATAGTATAAACTAAATGAATATATATGAATAGTTGGGATTAGATTTAAGAGACACAAAAGGTCCTTACAGAATAAAATTAAAGCATCTTTTTTCCAAGTTAAAGGGCCCTGGATATAATCAGAAGTAGTCTCTACATTCTGGAAAGGGGACCACTGGGCCATTCTTCTATCATGGAAGCACTTTATAACCTTTTCTGACTTGTCTATGTATTGTTTTTTTTAAAAACTGTGTTAGATTTTTTTTTAATGTTGTATTCTGATAATGTCTGGTTTATATTTGATACTCTCAGACAAAAAACAGTGATAGGGCTAATGCTTAGTTTATATTTGATAGTGTAACCATAAACAGTAGTAGGGCAATTTAAAGTAAAGAAAAAAGGTGTATTTACATTTTATAAAATCTTTAGCCGGCATCTTCCAGCAGAGAAGCTGTGGAATAGTGAAAAATCAGCTGTTTCTGGTTTTTGAGAGTTCTTTCTTGATTCTGCCCTTTCTCTCTGGCTACACGAGAGAGTCAGAACTTGGAGAACCCCAAGGATTGACCTCCTGACTGAGAGGCTGTACAGAAGCTCAGACCTTGCCTTTGATTTACAGCTTAGGCTGCAGGTGTAGACCATCTGTCCTGGATGGATAGTCGCCACAGTAGGCGGAGGAATCAGGTGACGGAAGGGGAATTTAATTCCCAAGTTACAAATTCCTGGTCATTTAGAGAGGATCCACATATTCACTCTAGGAGTAGGCTTAGGTTTAGATTAAGGTGTGACTGGAAGAATTATAGATTAGTGAGACAGCGTTCTTCAGAGGAGTTTTGGTTCTTAAAATATTGCTGTATGTGTATCTCTGTTTAATTATATTAACAAAATGTTATAATTTTTCTTTTAACAAAAATGTATGGTTGGGAAATTCATGGTTTTGACCTACATCTATTTGTAGTTAAGCATACACCTATCATTCTTATTAAAAGAGAAGTTTGTGAGGTTGGTTAATTTGACTAATGGATGAAACCACTTGCAAGTCGAAGACAAAAAATCTTAGTTGTTTTTTTCTGCACAGTTTTTATTCTGACCTTTATTTCTAAGATTATTCCTATGATACTTGAAAGTCATGAAATAGGTTGCCCACTAAAAATTCCTGAGGCATGTGAGTTATCCACACAATGTTAGTTCTAGAGACTCCTATCCTGTAGTTGTTGCTCCCTGTTCTCTCCAGGGATTCTTTTTTTTTTTAAAGGAAAAGAAAAAATGTTGAACCATGAGAATACAGTAAGTGAGACAGTGGGATACAGTGAAATGGGCCTCTGCTAAGGGCCCAGAGGTCTAACGTGAACATTTGGCAGGTTGCCGACCAGCAGGCAGCCATGTTTGGAGAATGCTGCTTCCAGATGGGAGATGTGAAATTAACCATGGGAACTGGGACATTTTTGGATATTAATACTGGAAATAACCCTCAGCAGACTGTTGGAGGTAAACAGTTAGAACTTATCCTATTTACTAATAAAATATCACTTCTTTCTTGTTTAACATTTGTATTTTCCCGTTTTTTATTAAGGATATTCTTTAACATATTTTTCATTATTATTCTTAGAGAGAGTTAGTTTCCATTTTCTTTTTTTCTTTAAATTAAAAGCATAAAAAAATAAGATGTTATTATAGAAAAATTCAGAAGGATTAGGATATTTTGGTCAGTTTTCCAAATATTTACCTATAATACCTGTTATATTTGTTTAAAACATCTTTCTAGGCCTCTAAATTTTCTTTTCTTTTATGTATTAGAAATTCACTCTTTTTGTGCATTTTTTTTTTTTTTAGTGGTAGTCCTTACCTAGCGATCCTTGCATATTTAGGGTATTAATTACAATTGCTAAGAATTTGCTCTCCCTAGTGGAGGACATCCTGGGATGTGCAAACCAAGAAATCTAGATTGTGAAACTACACCCAGGAGAGCTTGGGGCTCTTAGTATGAGCTCTGGTCTGCTAACATGGTTACTAAGAGGTGGATTTAAAAAATTTTTTTCCTACCTTCCATCTCCCTGCAAGCTCTTCCTTTTCCCCTAACTGGGAAAATGGAAGCTAGAAAATATTGATCATTGCATTAGGTTGTTTCTGTAGGAGCCTTGTTTAGAAACCACAGATAAGTGCAATAGCACAGACCACAGCTAGTAAATGAGAGAGGACTGAGATTTGAACTCGGGCAATCTGACTTCAGAGCCACTTTGCTATTTTTTGAGATAATCAGATTGTTCTGTTGTAGACATCTCTGTAATGAATTGTCTATTTATTATATGATTTACATTGTTTGTGTTTAAGGCTTTTATCCATTAATTGGGTGGAAGATTGGGCAAGAAATTGTATGCCTAGCTGAAGGCAATGCAGGAGACGCTGGTACTGCCATAAAATGGGCTCAACAATTAGGTAAGTCATCTTTTAAACGGATTTCACAGGCCAGACTTAAAGAATTCAAGAATGCAGATCAAGAGTAGAGAATGAATGGATTGTTCAATTGGAGCATAAAATAAAATGACATGTGCTGGAAGAAAATATAGGATGTTATTTTTATGATAGTAGGATGGTAAAAGGCTAGGTATTAAGGCCAGATACCATAAAGAAGAAGACTAAATTTAAGTATATTAAATATTAGAATGTGTAGGGAGAGAAATGCCAAGCAAAGGTATAGGACAAATTGGTAAGGACAGTTGTAGCATATGTCAGAAAATTTAATAAAGATGATGAAAAAAGGGACAAAAGACAGAGGTGCAGGTATTTTGTAAATCAAATGACTAAGAAATGCTGTTCAAATTCAATAATTAAAGAAATGCATACTTAATAAAATGATGTCACCATCATTGTCAGAGATAATTAGTTCAATGATGCTCAGCATTGGTGGGAATGTAGAGAAAAAAGTATTCTTGTTTTCCATTGGGATGAATGTTAATTAGCATTGCCTTTCTTGAGGACAATCAAGCAGTATGTATCATTTTATAGAGTGCAGACCCTTTGCCCTTGCTTCTATTCTGTTTCCTAAGAAAATAATCATACAGGTGTACAAAGACATGTGTGCATACATGGATGTTTAGTATAGCAATTGGAAATAAGTTCCCATCTAATAAAAAAGCATTAAATAAGTAAATGTCAGTATGTCCATATAGTGCAACATTGTACAGTGGGAATTCACTTTAATGGGTATATTGGAAAAAATAAATAAATTATATTCAGAGAAACGCAGTATATAATAAGAGCCTGAGTAACGCTGGCATCTCCTCGAATGTGTAAGCTGAGCCTTTGTGTCTTTGTGTGACGTGCTGGGCTTGGTCCACTCTGAATGGCTTCCTTCCACCCCTTTATTGGGTTGAACAGCTCAGGCTCAGGCGTAAAAACCGTTTTAAACCAGTTTCATCTTGATTTTTAGATTTATTTTCTTAATCTTTTTCACACAGGCCAGTTTTCTCTCCCTTTTTTCCCCTTTTGCCTTCTCTGTTAACTGCCACATTTGGGTCCCCACATGAGCATCTCTTTTCTCTTTAATTTGGTCCATTTCTACTCCCCTTCACTCTTTGTTCTATTTTGCTATCTCAATTTTACAAATATCTTCATGTCTCCCAGCTTTTATTCAGTTAACAAGTGGTTGAGTGCTCACCATGTGCCTAGGACTGTACATGCTCGGAGAACACCAGAGAATAAGACAGACGCTCCCTGCCCTCATGGAGGTTGCAGGGTGGCAGGAAAGACATATCCTAAATGAACAGTTGGAAAAAAACAAATGGTGTGAAGTACCAGGAAGGAGAAGTACCAGCAGCATCAGTGATCTCTCTCTCAAGGGATGGCTTGTCTAATCTGGAGAATCAGAAGGCTTCTCTCAGGAAGTGCTGTTGCAGCTGAGCCCTGAAGGAAGGAAGAGAGTGGTTGGGCAGGTAGGATAGGCAGCTGGTCAAGGAGTGTCCCGGCAGAGGGGCCAAGTGAGGAATGCCCAGGGTGGGGAGGAGCGTGACCTGCTTAAGGGACTGAAAGGAAGCCCTACGTCTGTTCCACAACTGAGGCGGTTCCCGTCTCTGCTGTCCTCCAGTAACACGGGTCAGGGGACATCTTTTCCCTGGCAGTACCACTTTTAATTGCTACATGTCGCATCTGCCTGCTCCAGGCAATTCCCATAAGACCTCAGTACACATTTAAAATCACCCAGGACTCTTGTTTACTAGAAGTAGAGGAAACTTTTTCCTTCTCTCTGGAGAGATACAGTGTCCCTGATTAGAGAAGATGAGATAAACATTCTCTCTATAGGATCTAATTCTAGGTGGTGGTGAATAGTTACATGTTACTCCTAGTGAGGAGGGTCTAGTTCATGGTCCTGCCTCCCTCTTGCCTCCTGCTGGGAGGACACACAGGCAGAGAAGTATGCTTCCTGCAGAAGCTGGAGTGGAGCCCAGACGTGAATGACACTTTGGGTTCTCAAGTAGACTGTGCAGACCCAGGGTCTGCAGAGGCCACCACCTGAGTGTTATTGGTGAAAATACCAGAGGCTGGTGGGGACCCTCTAGATGTTCTCAGTGGATCCAGCCTGCTGAGCCAGGAGGAAATCCCCTCAGCATGTGGAGAAGAAAGAGCTGCCCTGGCCCATCCCTGGGAGAGCCTGCTACGTCCCTGGGAGAGCCGGCTACGTCCCTGGGAGAGCCTGCTACGTCCCTGGGAGAGCCTACTAACAGTGGGCAGAGGCTCTGTTGAGTCTGAACTGCCCCTCTTCCAGGCCGAGGGGAGAGGCCAAATCTCTCTCATACTGGAGAAGCCCGAGAGCCAAGAGCGTTCACTCCTTTACCTCTCGCTGCCTGCCAACCCCGTAAGCCTGACCTAAAAGAGAGCACAAAGTTTTTAGGAGCATTTAGCACCTTGAAGGAGGGTGACCAAGTTCAGTGAAGCACACCAGGTGGCTCCTGCAGAGGCAGAGGTAATGGAAGAAACAGAACATTAAAGTAATATCAACAAAAGTGGAACTTAAAGGGATAAAAAAATATGGCAAAGAAATATTTGGAAAACCTAAGAGTTTTGAAGAACAAAAAACATGATATAGAAAATGTAAAAATATTAATAAAACGTGAAATGGACAGTGCTGAAAGCCCAAATAGGAATCAGGAAGAATTTAAGAACAAAAAAGAAAAAATAGAAAATAAAACTGAAAGGCAAGAGATATAGAGGAAAGATCAGAGAAAACAATACATGAACAATAGTCTCTTTTCTGGACTATGAAAATGTAATTATGGAAATGGGATTATGAAAATGTAAAAATTGAAAAGATAATTGAAAATAAACTTTCCTGAGTAGAAGAAAGACCTGAGTTTTCAGACTGAAATGGCTTAACAAGTTAAAAAAAAAGACACAAACTAAGACAGTCATATGTAGATGAATTGTCTGAATCCCAAGAAAAAAGAAAAGCTTCTAGACATGGGAAGAACAGTTTATTTATAAAGAAAAAAGACTCAGACTGGCATGGAAGTTAGTTGTAAAATTTCAAAAGTGGAACAACATCTACACATTACAGAGAAAAAAGAACAGTGAGCCCATATTCTGGTGCCTGGCTAAGATATCATTCATGTTAAGTGCAAAAGTGGCATTTCTTGGCCGTGCAGTATATACTTTCTAAGGAAATTACCTGAGGAGATACTGCAGCCAAAAGGAAATAGAACAAAGATCTCAACATGGAGAAGGCAAAGTATACAAATAGGGTTTTTTTTAAATAAAAAGATTTTTTTTTCCTGGTAGCAGGCCAGACTGCTCTTTGTTCTATTTGAATTGCTCTTACACTAAACTAATTTAATTTTTCTTACTGTAATGTAAATACTTTATTTCCATACATTACGAACATAGTTTTGGATATCCCTTTAAGAGATTGAAATTATCTTCGCACTAGAAAAAGCCCCTAATTAAGTTAGGCTTAAAGATTTTATGTGTATAAGGGCCGGCCCTGTGGCTTGGTGGTTAAGTGCGCGCGCTGCGATGCTGGTGGCCCGGGATCAGATCCCGGGTGCGCATCGAGGCACCACTTCTCCGTTCATCCTGAGGCCGAGTCCCACATACAGCAACTAGAAGGATGTGCAGCTACGACACACAACTATCCACTGGGGCTTTGGGGGGAAAAAATAAAATAAATAAAATCTTTAAAAAAAAAAAAAAAAAGATTTTATGTGTATGTATGGTTGTTCTATAAAAGAAAGTAATGTTTCTGTTAAATATTTCAAAATGATATTCTTTTTTGTGTCTCCCTCCCATAAGTGCTTTTAATTCCATGATGTGTAACTTAAGGGGCAAATTGCTGGTCAGGAATAGACAACCGAGTGTACATTTTTTCTTTTCTTCTTTCTATGCATTTATGTCTTCATTTCAAATTCATATAAATCCCTTTCGCGCACACACACACACACAGCGCCATTCCTTGTCTCGGTGCCGTACTGAGAAAGCAGTGGAGTGGAACATCGCAGTCTGTGTAATATGGTTAGAAATGTAAAAGCAGCAGTTAGGTGGTACTTAGCCGTGTGGAAATTTGAAATGTCTTTTCTTAAGCAGCATAGGGCCAAGGAAAACATTTGAAACACAATTTAATAGTGTCCCAAAAATAAATAAAGTGACTATAATTCTGTAAAACCAGTGCTTAGAGGAAAAGGATGAATACCTACTAATAAGAAAAAAAAAAAAAAGAGAAGCATAATAAACTTCCAAGCCAAAAAGTATAAGGATATACACATCATAAAATTGAGAAATAATACAAAGTAAAATTGATAAACTAAATCTCTTTTAAAAATACCCAAGGATTGGTGCCCTATATATGTTTCACTAGGTATATATACATATATAGAGAGAGAAACAGAGAGGTGAAAATGAGAACTGTTTTAACTTTTATTTTGAAATAATTTCAAACTTTAAGTTGTAAAAATAGTACAAAAACTCTTGTATACCTTTACCGCAGATTTGCCAATTTTTAACATTCTGCCATGATTGCTTTATTTACTTACCTACCGTCCATCCATCCATCCTATATGCTATAGGATAGATAAATACCTATATAATTTTCTGAGCTCTTTGAGAATAGATTGCATACATCATGCTCCTTTCCCTGTAGTATTTCACTGTGTATTTCCTAAGAACAAGCATATTCTCTTACATATCTGAAGTATGGTTATTAACTTCAGTAAATTTCACATTGGATATATCATGCTTTTATCAAATTTATAGTCCATATTCCAGTTTTGTTGGATGTTCCGATAATGTCCGTCATGGCAATTTTTTTCCAATACAGGATTTAGTCCAGGAATGTTTATTATATAATTTCCTTTAATCTGGAACAGTTTCCTCAGCTTTTTTCTTTTTTTTTCATACCATTGACATTTTTGAAGAATATAGATCAGTTATTTTATAGACTGTCCCTCAAT